ATCTCTCTCTCTCTCTCTCTCTCTCTCTCTCTCTCTCTCTCAGTCTCTCACCTGAAGTTTTTCCGTCTCTGGATTTTTTGAAAACAGGTCACGGGAGGTGAGAAGCAGAGGAATTCGTATGCGTGCAGTGGCGATGGATGAATCATAATGTGGGTAGAACTAAGAAATTAGGGTAGGTTGAGTTCAAATGTAAGAGTTCTTTAGTTAAGAGGAAGAAAATTTAGATAAGTATGAGTGTCTTTGTGTGTGTGTGCATGTTTCACAAAAACACACTCACACGCACGTGCATATATACACAACAAGAATAACTGGATTAGTTCGTGTAGTCGCAGAAAACAAGACATTCTTAACGAGAGCCTTATTAGCGTGTTTTGTCACTGGCTCTCTGAGGAAAGTGTGTCATGAACTTTCCTCCAATTATCAAGGCTTACAAAGAACGAGTCCTCTCTGACAGTAGTTTTCGTGGGCGTTCGTTAGTTTCTTTTACCTTTTCACAAGAAGAGTTTCATAAAGAATGAACCGCGATAACGGGTTTATCCCTTGATAAGCCCTACAGACATTTGATTGATGTTTGGTGGCTAACGTTGAAAGCGGTGACAACGGTGATTGGATAAACGAGCAAATTATGCGTGTGTTCACTGCCTGAAACTAGAGGCGGACGATTCTGAAGCAGTCTTAAGTCCTGATCATATCATTAATTAAGGAACATTCCTTTAGGTCGGAAAAGAGTTGGGGGTGGGAGTGGGTAGGGCTCAATGACTTCAGCCCTTCACTATGCCCCGCCACTGTATGCATGTTCTTGGGACTGTCAAATTTCCCAACACAATTACGTGAAGGTGGATGTGCAATTATTGTTATTTTCGGAGGTAGAGCTATCAGACAGGAAAGGTCAGCTCGCCTATAAAAAGAGGGGTTTCCACAACTGGCGGCTCATTGAAGGCACAAGTCAGACAAGTTGCCTCACAAAAAAAGCTATTTGTGCAGTTGTGCAGCATTACAGCGTACGTGGTTCTTTCCTGGATACACACGATAACATGGCAGGTGAGACAAAAGACAACTAGTTCTTGTTCTTGTTCTTGTTATTGTTCTGGTTATTGTTCTTGTACTTGTTCTTGAGTATTTGGGTATATTATTTATTATTTTTTGGTTGTGTAGTTTTGTTT